CCCCCCTCCCCCCTGCCCCAAACAAAAGGGGCAATCTGTGTCCCCACTGGTGATGCGTGCAGCTAATGCCCCACCTTATTCAATGCGTATTCATGGATTTGATCCCTGGACTCATCATCATATTATGTAACCAGATTTGCTGGTTGTTTCTCTCCTGTGCTTTGAGAGCTTTTCTTCAAGTTCTCTGATTTTCCTCCTTCCCAAGAATTAACTTGCTAAATTTCAATTTGGTCTGGTATCAAAAGCTTTAGCTTCAGTCTTTGCCATGGAAAACCTGCATAACCACTCCTTTATCTTTAACGAAAATAATTACTGACTAGCTAGGTACTAGGAGTTCTAATATCTAATATAGTAGACGTTTTCAGGTATGCATGGACCTTTAATTGTCTGAATCCATGATCCTTTACTTTTTAGGGAAGATCCAGAACGACATTAAGAGAAGACAGTGTTGAAGAGAACACTAGTGTATGTGAATGACATAATGATTGTCTATATGCACATGATTACAATGTCCAATTTTTCTCTCAGTGTTACTCTAAATTTCTCACTCGCTCTTAATTAATTATTAATTTGAAAATTGAGATTCTTAATTATCGATAAATATCTGTCAAAATAACAATATTGGGGGAGCCATTAAAGGTTTATCGGCACAATGCTTCTAGCCTGTGATCATTAGGATTTTCACTTTACTACTTTTCTTGATAGGYTGCTTATTGTCACAGGTTTTCCTCTCAGAACTTTGTGAAATAACCAATATGCATAAATAACATGTGAATATTACTTTTAAGTCCGAAGATCCATCAAGACCAAGCCCATCGTTAAGACGACGTAGCCACACAATTGACACCTTAGGAAGTGGGCCGATTGCACCCATGTCGTCTATTGATGAAAAGCCTCCAGTGAGCAATATTGGTGCACAATCTAACAACCAAAGAGGAGTCAGAGGAGATCAGAAGAGAGGAGTCATAAGGAATAAATCTAGCGATAGTTTACCAGAGACTTTTGGATCTGGTCCATCCCCTCCGCTCACACCCACAAAACCAACGGCACAGATGCATCGTAAGCTGAGCAGACAGCATTCATACCGACAGGTAACTAAGTGTAGCTATGGTTAAATGCTTATTTTACAAGGGTTTGTTTTCTGAAATGTGACTCTTGCAGTTTGTTATTGTTTGATATGATACATGTAGATATTTTTACCTTGTGGGCAAAATGTTTTCACATTTCAAACATTCTCATTGTCATTCTCTTGGAAATAAGATTGTTTCTGTTGTGTCCATGTTAATTTGTTTTTCTCAATGCTACAACTATTAAATAAAGAAATGATACTAAAGGCAATGGCATATGGTCCAAAATGGTAAAATATTATGCAAAAGCTACTGTAAAGTGGTTGTTTCTGCTGTTGTTGCTGCTGCTGCTGCTGTTGTTGCTGCTGCTGCTGCTGTTGTTGTTGCTGCTGTTGTTGTTGCTGCTGTTGTTGTTGTTGTTGTTGTTGT